CAACAGCCGGATGAGAGTTTTAAAACATTCAGGTCAGGGAAGTGACAAAAACGAAAGTTTCTACATCAGCTGTATAATTCTTCAATGTACAAAGTTCGGGCTGCTCTAAGTTACTTGCTAGATATCACATATTAAATTACCATGTGGCTGACTTCATGGTTGCTCAGCAAACAGTCTATTTGCATGTTCATAAATTCACTTGTGGTGTTTAGAGATCAGTCTTGACCTCAGTGAAGATAAAACTGAGCAAACAGAGAGTGACTTGAGGGAAAAGTCAGATTTGCGAGTGTGTCGAAAATTCACAAGGCTATGAAAAGAGCAGGGGCAGCGTCTGAGGAAGCTGAAGGGCAGCCTGAAGGCTGCAGTTATTCAAACTGGTAAGACAAGAAGAATTAACTCACTTCAGAGTGAGGACAAGCCATGCCTCGGGAGGGAAAGGAAGCTCTCTGCTCTAGTGGGAATCGTGCCACACACCTCTCTTTCCAAAAGTACAAAGCACAAGCTCAGGCACTAAAGACTACTAAGGAACAGCAGTAAACTGGCTCACTAGTTAGGACTGCAGAAGAGGAAAATTATTTGTATTTATTCAGCTGAAAGACCATGAGCCATCTTTTTGTGAACGGAGAGATTTTAAAGTAAGTGCCTGGATTTGATTCTGCAAGTCTTAATTTCCTAAAACAAAAAAAACCTTCATTTTATCACTGCTTTGTTAAGTGGCATTTCCTTTCTGCTTTGTCTAGAGCATCAAAACCTTTCTCCTAACTTCCATGTCACTTGAATTGTACTTTAAAAGCTCTGGATGCTACAAAAGGGAGCCAATGATGCTATAAAACAGCAGATCCTTTATATCAACAGTGATGGTAGTCACGAGTTTGATTTTAAATTAGCTGGCAGCAGACTCTCACTTGAGTACTTTCATTCTTATTTCTGTAATCACAACACTAAAAAAAAAAACAAACCCAAACACAAAAACACTAACAAATCTCTGTGGGCAAGAACCTTAGATCTAAAAATAGAAAAGAACTTGCTCCTGAAGGCAGAGCTTTGTCAGGAGTGCTGAGTGTCAGAGAGAGCTGGGTTCTCTTCCCAGCCCTCCCAGGGCCCTGCCCATCCACCCCGGGCAACCTATTTTCTATCTGGGTGCTTCTATTGGTGTTTGAATCAAGAACAGCGATGCTACCCAAATTTCCTGCAAACACATGGTTAGTTTTCCTCTTTGCTTGCCCACCTGCTCGTAGAAAGGTCAAAGGAATGACTGCTTATTTAGATGCTTTTTAAGAATACTGAGATACACATTCATAAGACACAGTTATCTCCCTGCTGGCATTTTTCTGATTCTCTGCTAATATTTTCCCCTTAAGCACTATCACTAAGGAATGATGCTTCATCACTTCTAGTCAGCCGGGCTAGGAATACATGCCAAGATCTTGAGACACTGAGATTATTCAGTTGGGAAACTGAAAAAAAAAACCCCAAAACCAACTATTTAATATCTGTGATCCCTTTAGCTAAAGTGTGGAACATCTAAAACCACATGACTGGAGATGCTACACCCAGGAGAATTCACTGCTGAGGAAAGCCACGGAGTCATAGCATTACAGATTCTTAAAGAGGGATACTGAATAACCTCTGCAACTATCAAGGTAAACATCTATTTCAAGGAGAATCAGGAAGTATTTTTCCCCAATTACAACACTGTATAATTTGATTGGCATTAAGGAAAACATCCACTTCCCTTCTGCAGTATCAAATTCATGAAACTGATGGATGCAGAATACAGACAACAGTGATTTAGGAATAATTATACTACTTCCCTTCATCACAGTTTCTAGAATCTACCAAACAGAACAAATACACATTTTTTGTCCTGTGATTACACAAAGCCATGTCTCTCTTGCAGGTTTAAGAACATGAAAACCTGTGTATTCCTACTGATGTCCTGCAGGTGTCATATAAGTTTATACTATAAAGCATTTTCATTTAAGCTAGAGAGTTTAACATAGATTCTAGCCTGTTAAAATCTGTAATGGTACCAAGACCATGGAAAATGGCCGAGTATGAAGGCAGCTGTCCCCAGTCAGCTGCAGAGAGAAATCCCACCTTCTCAGTAATGTGGGGACCAGTGGCTGTAGGGCCAGGTAATGGAAGATGTTGGCTGGACAGCCATACTTTTGATGCATTTAATGATTTAACCTGGAAGGCAAGGCAGAAGAATGAGGGTGCACCACCAGCGTGAGGTAAAGTCTGAGTTTAACCTACGTCCCTCCTTGCTGGGTGTGCCCAGCGTTCTGCATCCAGCAGCAGGCACCTAGAAGAGACTGGATGAACAAACACATAGCAGCAGTTGCCCAAAAACCCTTCTTGATCTCAGTGATTCTACCTGCTTTTGAGTGGCATCTTTTCCCTTCCATCCCCTGATAGCCAATGTACCTGAAAAATCTGGATATGAAGAACTGACTGTAAAAGCTAGCACACGTAAATTGTATGTTGAGGAGAAAAAAAAAGGTGATGTTTTACTCATCATCCAAGCAAATTCCCTGGAGAAAAAAAAAAAAAAGAAAGAAAAAAATGTTTGCCTCAGTAGTGTGTTCACTTCTTACAAGGGTTTTTTTTGTTTGTTTGCCTTCCATTTACTTGTTAATCAAAGGAAATGACTTGTTTGTAATCATTTAACACATCTGCAGCTGCCATAGCTTCATTGGATGGTTTTCTGCCACTCAGATCTGCTTTGTCCCCACTTGGGTCTGGCCCTGTCTCTGTCCCTGTAAGAAAGCCGTGAGAAGGGCAGTGACAATGTGGCTTCTGAGCGCTTTCATCCTGGCAGCTGCTTTTTCTTGTACGTGCCCTGCATATCCTCCAGTGGCAAAGGGGACACTCTCTAATCTCAGCTTCATCTTTCTAATCCTTCTCTTTCTTTCACGCAGGTGGTTCTGCACAAGTCTTGCAGCAAACCCCCATATCCATCACCAAGCCAGAAAGCAAAACGGTGCTAATCAACTGCCACGTCTCTGATCCCGATTTTCACAACATTTTCATTCACTGGTACCGAAAGAGGCCCAAAGCAGCTCCCAAGCGTATTGCCTACATGTCCTCCAGGCTCTTCCTTGAAAACAACTCCGATGAGGGGAAATTTAGTATCGAGAAGGACCTCACCAGATCTGTCTGCACCCTGACAGTGAGCAAAGTAACTCTGCAAGACTCCGCTACCTATTACTGCGCTAAGTGGGACGCACAGCAGTAGAAAGCCATAAGGGACCCACACAAAGACACTCTCTGCTTTCTGCACCAGATCCTGAAGTCTTTGCCAGCACCCAGGACCAGCCCCACCCTACTGTCCCCATCAGCCTTGAATCAGACACACGATACAGGCAGCCAGATACCAAAGACACTGCAATTCCCTGGAGAGCTTCGCAGGCACACGCTTCGCAGGCACACGCTGCAGCCAGCACCAGCAGAGCTGGTATTTCACTTTACCAACAAAAAGGGCATTTTTGTAGGTCTGGCTGGATTGCATCTCGGTGGGTTTATGGGATGGCAGGGTGGGCTAGCTGAAAGAAGGAAAAAAGTCTTTCTATTCCCACTACACTTCAAGCTACATCTTTGAAATAAATCCCCAGTTACATCATTTGTGTGGCAGAATAGAAGGATATAAGTGAAAATAAACTTGAAGTACTGCTCAGGACTGCCGATGCAATATACCCATTTTGTGCTTCTCTGCTGGTAGAGAATCTCATTTTATTTTCTCTTTGTTTTCTGTTTGCAGTTGATCAAACCTTCATTTAGATGAAAACACAAGTCTCTTGATTGACTTCAGTGAGGCTTCTCATCCAGCACGGCAGCAAACCTGCAAAACAGACGGCAACTCTACAAGAGATATTTATATTTCCATTTTGCAAACAGAAGGATATTAATTTAAGTAATTTCACCTCTTTTCTGTTTATAACTAAACAACTAATAGATAAAATTAAAGGACCACCATGTTCTGATCCCTAAGAACCCGGTATTATCGGTCTCCAGAGCACATTGAACACCAGGGTATCGGTTGCATTTCACAGAAGAGTGAAAAATCAAATTCCTGTCACAACTGTAGGACAGCAGTTACTGGATCTATGTCAAAATCCTTGAAAAAAAAGAAAAAAAAAAGTCTGGCATAAGTAAAATAACACTATGACAACACAGAAAGGGGAATTGGTTTAGTTTTCTTTCCAAAGGAACCAGCAGCAACTTTGTCTCTGAAGAATGACTTTCAATAGCACAGAATAAAATATGTATTTTGCTTGCCCTATTCATCTTTATTTTACATTAAGCCTACAGGGCTGTAAAGCATTTGTGTTTCTTTGTATAATACCCAGCATTTGGAGATGCCACCCTGGCACAACTGACTGATAGATAAAATTACAGGACCACTGTGTTCTGATCCCAAAGGATTCCGTATTATCAGTCTTCACCTTTCCTGTGACGAGCAGCGGTCTCAAGCGCAGCAGTGCTGCTTCTGAGCTCCCAGTGGCTGCTCTGTATTCTCCTGGCCTTTGGCATTCAACCTGTGTGATGGGCAGGAATTTGAGAGACTTCAAATTCACTAAACTCTATGTTGTTGGGTTTTTTTCCTCCCTTTTTTGGGCAGTGGATTTGAGGAAAAGTGTCTGACCCCAGGCATTGTTCAGCAGCCTTCCACTAATCTAAAAGCAGTGGTAAAATTTACTTCAGATGAGAAAATTACTTTGTAAATACTTAAACTAATTTTGTGTGTGTGTGTTAGAGAGAGAGAGAGAGAGAGAGAGAGAGAAGGTGAGTTTGTGCTGCTTGTGTAAAAGCTATAATCAGGCTGTTAATATTTAGTGGGGTTCAGTCAAGCTGCTTTATCTCAACATCACCCACCTGCTGCCAGGGGAACCTCTCCGGATGGTGAGTCATTTCCTTCCCTCCGCAGCAGCCCTCTGTCCCTGCCAGGAGAGCTGTCGCCTTCCTCCCAGAGCCTGATGGCAGCGAGAGCCCTTGGGATGTTGCTTCTCCTGCTCCTGGCTGCAGCCTGCTCTTGTATGTTCCCCTTGTCACCACAGCATGGGACAGCAGCAGGAGGCACCCCATATTTACGTGTGTGAATGAATAGCAGGGCTCAAAGTGTGGTGTTTTTCTCTCTTCCTTTCTAGATGGACAAGCACAAGTGCTTCTGAAGCAGAGTAAAGTATCCATTACCAGAGAGCAAACTAAAACCGCATGGATTGAGTGTACAGTTGAGGGCATAGATGACTTCCAGTCTGCATATATCCACTGGTACCGACACTTACCCTCCAGAGCTCCCGAACGGCTTCTGTATATCGCATCAAGTCAAGTTGTTTATGATGACAACTCCTACAAGAGCAAGTATTCTTCTCTGAAGAAACGTACAAACGTCTGCGCTTTCTCAGTCAATGACATCAATTCCAATGACGAAGGTACCTACTACTGTGCCTACTGGGAGGACCACAGAGCTAGCAGAGCACAGGCAGCCTGTGCAGAAAGCTGCCTGTGCCATGAGCAGCAGGCCTTCTGTTAAATGCAGAGAGCCACCACTGCACCTTCCTGCCTCTAAAACATCCTGATGGGTTTATGCTGAGTATGTAAGTAGAAATAAAGAACAAAGAGGACAGCAAAGGAATGCAATGTGGTACAACCCAGATGGTGTAATGCGCCGTGCTGGGGAAAAGGAGCTCTCCTGTGGGTGATGGGAATAACTGGTGATGGTATAAGCTGACTTATACAGTAACACAGATTGTCTTTGCAGAATGGAGATACTTCCCCAAATACAGCAAAAACAAAGCAAATGGCAGGGAGGGACTATAGGAGGACATTGCAGTGCAGACCTAGCCTGCGAGACTTCAAAGCCAGGTCACGATGGAGATGCAGGTGATAATCATCACTGCTCACTCCCATCTCAGTGATGATAATGGTGATGACTACTTATAACACTGATACCCCTTAGGATCCCTCGTAATACACAAGGAGCTGTTATACTGGGCAAACCCTGAAAAGACACCCCCAAGAAAGGTCTGTGAAAACTGTTTACAAGAGAAAACTGCAAACTAGAGCAGGGAACATATGGGCATGGTGACGCTGCACTGCTCAGCCAGACAGCTGGCAGCAGAGCCACAGTGAAATTTGACTTGTGTGACAACAGTATTCACAACCCCACGTCCATATGAGTGTTTCATGGAACTCAAGTGCATCGTTTCCTCTCCTCAATGGTAGTCCATCCTCCACCTAAGGTTCCTTACTGATTCCTACAGGCTCAGCTGATTTATCTGAAAACATTACTGCTCCAGGTTCTACTTGGCCCTGAAAGAGATCTTCCTCTCTGGCTTCCACACTGAAATGGACTAATAATAAAGACAGTCTTTAACTCAGTAAACTCCATGCTTATAATATCTTTTTTTGATCTTTTAGTGTAGATAAGTTACACTACAGGGCCTAACACAAATTCATGTATCTATCACAAGGACAACAGAAGAACAGGAACTTTCTGTACTAGTTGTGAGTTGAGATTTAGTTGTGTACACTGCTATTGACAAAGACCTAAAAAAAAACCTCCAGAGTGGATTATCTCTTTTGGGTCAGAACATGAGAAATCATTCTCTGAGAGGAGAGTGCTGTGTGGTGGCTGCTGCCCAAGCGACCATTTGCCATGAAGTCTTTGCAGGGCACCTTTAGAGGGCTCAGGAATGAGGGGAAGTCTAAGAAAAAGCAGAGGGCAGCAAACAGCTGGCTGGGAGACATGGAGGCTTCAGCCAGGCTTTGCCACAGCCACCGGGGTGCTCCTGCAAGAGGCTCTAGCTGTATTTTTCCTATTTGGTGCTACAATCCCATCACCAAGGAAGGCACTTGCATGCAGTACATGTCCAACCACCTCGCTGCTCGCAGGACACTACTGCCAGAGGAACTGGCCCTGAGGAGCTGGAGTGCCATCCTAGAAGGTCATCTTGGAGACAAACAGCATCTGAGGGAGAGGGATAAGGCTGATCAGACACTTTGGAGCTGTTTTAATAGTAAGAGATGATAGTTCACTATGACTTATCCCATTTGTGCTACCAAAGCAGGCAGAATGTTCCAGGAAAGGCTGGTGAAACATGCTTCTGGGACAGCTTTGGGTGTCTGAGGAGAGAACGTCCTTGGGAAGGGACAGATTGAATAACCTGAGTTTTTATGTGTGTGCTCAGGAGGTAAGTCTGAGAGGAATATAGACACAGAGATAGATGAAGAAAAATTATTTCAGATTCAGTATTTTAGGTCCTTTCTGCACTGTTACTGATGTGATTTAGCTTGTCAGTAAATTTAACCCCCTCAATGGTAGCGTGTTGAAGAATGACCATTGGATGTGCCAAATAAGTCATTTCCTCCTCCCAGCTGTTTGGCTCTTTCTCCACCTGAAGGGCTTTATAACCTTTCTGTCTCCGTTTATCTCATTTACAGCTTAAACCTGCACGGGGAGCATGTTGCTGCTTCCAGTCCTTCTTGCAACTTCACTGTGGTCTCGTAAGCCCTTTTTCCTCTCCTTCCCGTGTGCAAGAACGCGGACCTGGCTCCAAACTCCAGCAGTTTCTTCCCCTCACACAATTTCTCCGCTTCCCCTTCCAGGTGGAGATGCACAAGCAGTGCCAGTGCAAACCCCGGAGCTGCAAAGGCAGGTGAGGGGCAGCTCTGCCAGCATGGCATGCCGAATGAGCACTGCAGTCGTCGTCCACTGGTACAAGCAGCTTCCTGGGGAGCCGCCGAAGAGGATACTCTACGTGTTGGGAGAGTCACCCACTTTTGATGACAGAGGTGATAGAAGGAAATATCGAGTTCAGAAGCATCTCTCTGAGCCCATCTATGGCCTCATGATAGAGGATTTAACCCCAGGGGATTCTGGCACTTACTACTGTGCCTATTGGTTTTATCAACGCATCACAGCGTTAGACTGGCAAAGATATGCCGCACAAAAAAGGGTTTTTGCACTCTGAACCGCAAGCTCTGAACAGTGCCAAAAATGCAGATACTTCCCTATTCCACCCATCTCTCATGATTTTCTGCAGCAGGATAGGAAAAACAACAATTTAGCATGACAGCTGTTAAATATGTGATGTTATTAATCGGTCTATCACACATATCTGTAACATCCAGAAACTGGAGAGTCCCTGTTTCTGGATGAGTCACTTTGGGGTAAATATACAGAACTTTGCTCGTAAGATGAAGGCTTGACTGTACTGAAAGCACTCACATGACAGTGAACATGGCCTGTCTGTGTGAGAAGAGGTGTCCAGGAGAGCTGGTTGGTATTCAAGAACTACAGGCTTTTACTCCTTTTCAATCCCTAGGAAGGTGATGGAGCAACAAATCCTGGAAAACATTATAAGACACATGAAGGTGAAGAAGGTGGTCAGTAGTAGTCAGCATGGATTTACAAAGGGGATGCTATTTAGATAGCTTTAGATAATGAAGCTATCTGCAAAGCGGATGTTGGCCGTCTCATCAGTGACAAGTCTATTTGATGATAATTTGAACCTGGAAAGGTATTTTGTTGATAAAGACTCTGGCCACTGCATGTGTCCTCTTGGCAAGACACCATCAAGTTTGATATGTAAATATGTCTACTAGGAGACTTGTTGTGTTAGAAAGCTACAATAAAAAACCTAGACGGTGCCTGTAATTTAGACATGCAATTGTGAGAGACTCAGTCACTACACCGCTGGAGCTGCTCTCTCTCACAACCCTTTCTCAGTGGCTCCAGATCAAGTTGTCAAAGCCACAGGCCTTGGATTTCACAATGTTTCTCATATTCACCTGAAAAGCAGATGGGACTACAACATTCTAAGCAATTTGAGCATTTGCCAGCCCGGGGAGGGTTTTCTGCAAAAGTGCCCCACCTGCTTGTGCACAGAAGACCTGTCCCTGAAGACTGCTCAAGAGAGGCACCTCCTCCTCCTACACAACACTGTCCCCATCTGGGGTCTCTTTCATCTTCCTCTGAGTCTCAACCACAGCAGAGAGTGACGAGCAAACATGCTGCTGCTGGCAGCGCTTGTGGCTGCAGCCGCTTGGTCTTGTAAGTCCTTCCTTATTTCCCTACCTTCCCTCACAGGCACCCATCGCGGTGCTATCAGGCATATTCCCAGATCCCTGCATTCCACCTCATCACAGCATTTCTCCTCTGCTTTTGTTTTTCTTTTCCTAGATGGATATAAACAAGAAATTCCTGTGCAGAGCCCTATATCCATC